AAGCTGGGGATAAAAGTGCAACAGTGTGCAAGCATTTTTTTTTTAAGTTGTCTTAATATGCTTTATATTGCAGGCTAAAGTTATTTGCGGTTATGTGATCTTGTGTTTGACAGATGCTGAGGAGACAGCTCCACAGTCAGAGTCACCTGCAAATAAAGATGCTGACTCTCAGTGGGTAATTTCAGCCACTGATGGATCTCACCTACATATCAGGAGAAAGGACGGAAGTATGCCACAGAGAAGAATGGTTTTAGACATCCAATGTCTTTTTAAGCCAACCTTTTTAAGGTTGTTTTTTCTTTCTTAACATAGATGGCTTCCTTCACGCCCCTCTCAAACCACCTGTCTTCTTTGTCCAAAATGTGAACATTTGGAAGGAAGGTTTCAGCTTCAAAAACTTCCAATGCGGCGATAGAGTTGATTCCTTCCCACTATCATTGCAGCTCCAACCCCTTTACAGGAGAACAGAAGACCTCCCCTATTCATCCAGGCCAACAATTCCCTTTAACGACCCCCCTTTCAGAGACATAGACAGGTATGGGGCATTGCAGGCTAACAAAGAAGCCTAACGACCCCCATTCCAAAGGGGGGGACCCGTTTGTCCATTTCTATTTGCAGGTTTTCTAAACAAAAACAAGTCAATTTTTTGTGTCCAGGCTATAAAACCTGGAACTAAACGCTATTTCTGACATTTTGAATTGAAAATGTTTCCTGGATGGAAGAGACTTGTCTTCAAACTTGGAAACAAAGTCCAGTGGATTGATTTTTAACTTTATTTGAAACGACTCTGACCTGGATGACACTCATCACACTAATGCTGACAGAGACGTCATTTAACTCGTCCAACTGCTGTTTCAAACACAAGGAAACAAATATTTCCACTAATTAAGAGCCGAATAAATTATTAATCCATCAGATCTGGAGTTTGGACCGATAGCGTCTCAGATAAAAGAAGTTAATGATTGTCTTTTTAATCTAGAGGTGAATAAATGTCTGTATTTAGCTCGTTATTATGAAAAATAATGCAAAGCCGTGAGCTCCTCTAAAAGGCTTAGCTGTCTGATAGAATTAGAATAATAAATCAGAGATCAGCTGCCAGCGTATCAGAAAGGCTGAGCAGCTCCTCCCTTTTCTTTACGGTTCCTCTCCAGTCCAGCCGTTCCTGCAGGTATGAGACACTTTGAACCCGTTTCAGGGTCTCTGCTTTAACACTGCAGCTTCAGGGAAACTAAAACTCTTGTCTTTGTTTATCTGCAGTAGAAATCATAAAGAACGCCACACCTGCTGTGGATGTACGACTCATTACACCTCCATGTTAGCTAATATCTGATTTCCAGCTATCTTTATTACACCCAGGGAAGCATTTCCTTCTCCACACAACAGGAAAAAAATGAGAAAAAGCAGAAATTTAGACGATTCTGTGTTTGACACCAGATCGCTGATGCAGGGGCGGATTTACCAATAAGGCAGGTGCCTACGGCCCCAAGTTCCTGGAGGTCCCATAAAACTATGTCTACATGTGTGGTTAATGCAACTATTCCTTATTTGTGCACATAATTATATTTTTGATAAAAATCCTTTTTTTAAAGCGTCATCAGAACCAGTGGCGC